AAACATTCGAATTGAAAATATTATATTTATAGAAGAATTGTAGCCCTTTGAGCTAGCTTTCTAACGCACTTTTAATTGCCTCAATCAGATGTCGGGAAAGAAAGTTATGACCAAAATACTGACTGCTGTGTAGAAACAAAAAATCCGTACACGAATGGAACTTTACTTATTTGATTGGAACTCTTTTGGAAACCAATTTGGTTTCAACCAATTTTCTACTCGTACAAATACCTAATAACAGAATACATATGGGAGACTTCTCATATGCATATTATACTCCAATATTTATCAATTATTATTATTATCAAAGGAGGCAAATTCATAATTTTTGTGAGAGAATTGAAAAGTTTTTGCAAGAATGATAATTGTTGGCAAATATATTGGAATATAATTTAATTCTATATAAATTATGTTTTGTAGAATTTAGGAAAAACAAGAGAAAAAAGAATTAAAATTGAAGAAAATTAAAGTTCAGGGATCAAAATGCAAATAAGTGAAAGATGACCTGAAAGAAAAAACGAAAATGTGAAGGAATCAAAAACCAATTGAGCGAAGGAATTAAGTGTTAAAAGATGAAGAAGCAAGAAAAGAGATCACGAAACGAGAAAACGGAGTTCGGGAACTAAAACACAACTTTTGAATTTTCATCTACACTATGCGGTTGCATTGTGTCATATACCATGCGGTCTCATGGTCAGCTTCAAGGAGTCCCAGGACTGAGTTTCATTGAACTGTGCTATAGCATGAAGTTGTACTATGCTATAACATATTACATTTTCGAAGGAAAAATTCTGATTTCTTTATATGATTCCAACTCTTATGAAAACAAACCTTAGAATTTCTTTTAAAGACTTAGGACCTTCTAGAAGTGGTTATCACGTATTACAACATATTTTAAGAGATTTTGGAGTATAGAAGGAAGCAAGAAATACAAAGATCGATTTCAGGCCTCGAAGATTCAATTTAAGATTTATTTGGGTGATGTGATTCTTCAATACTTCTTTTGTTTTTTCTTCATAACATGTTAGGCTAGATTAATTTGTGATAGAGAACGATCAACCTTATAATATGAGTTTTTAATCTTTAGTTTTACATATTTGATAATGAAAACACGTTTTTTTTTTTTTTTGATTTTGAATGATTTATATGATTGTCTTTTCTCTATAATTATAGTGCACGGTAATTGTATGAATTTGATGATTTATTTTATGTATTCGAAAGATGAAAAATAGGCTCGACATAGTATAAATTGTCATAGTTTCTGATAGGGAATATAAATATACCGTTATGTTCCATGTGAATATTTAAGTGTTCATAAAAATTTATGCATTTTTATATGTTCGTATCCGTCATAAAAATATAGTCAGGTCATATATGAGAGTAAGTTTAACATTATTCGAGAGATATTGTTAAATAAAATATGAACATTGATTCGTTAAAGTTCAATCGTGTTGTCAAAGTATAGAATGAATGTTAAAAATGATTATTGTATGAAAATTTGGGATCCTAGTGCATTTGCCATTTATTAGAACACATCATTTTGCATTTATCTATTTAATTTACTCATAATTGCATAAATAGATTAGTTTAGTTATAATTTTCTCACAAACAAACACATCATATTATTCGTGTTTCGATTAAAGTCGCGACAATTAAAATTGAACTAAATCAATCTTAGTGGGACAATACTTTGACCTAAATCCACTTTATTACTTATTAACGAACTATACACTTACGGTGATTTTAATTCGAAAGATATCTTCGTGAACAGTACCGACTAGAGCAGTTACTGTAGATTTTCACCTGAGATTTGCTATGTGTGAAGATTCCGATTCAAGGAATGGGTGGTGATGGGGAATTGGGGATTGCTTCTTTCGCTTTCTTGAATTAAGCTTAACATATGATAATTCCATGGCTAGGTTTATTTTTCCTATTTTGTTGGAGTTTTTGGTTTATGCTGAGATATGGAGTTAGGGTTTCAACACAGTATAGTGAGTCTGAGTGTGAAGGGGAGGGAGATCAAGCGTGAGGGGTTTTGCAGGGAATGTATGACTTAAGGACAGGAAATTAGTACTTTATTTTTTTAAAAAAATTATTTTTAGGTTTTGGTAATTAGAATAGACTTTGGGCCGGTGAGAATTTTTTTGAGGAAATTACACTAAACCCTAGTATTAAAGATCCTAGTTCTAAAATCAGATGGAAGGTTTTATTTTTCAAAAATCAGATATTTAATATTTAAATATTAAATATTATATTACAAATTTCACCAAA